GGCTTCTTAAAAATATATAGAGGAGAAAAAAGTAAAAACAAAAAACTGAATAGGAATAGAGAAATCTTATGATCACTTCAGATAGTGTTGAACAAACAATTATTCAACTTATTGGAGTTTTAAAGAGATTTCAAAATGCCAAAGGGTTAGAAAGTTTATACAAAGAGATGATAATGCAAACTTTCTCAAAAATAGAGAAAAATCACCAGGTACAGGAAGATCAAAGGTCACAAGTCAGATTTATCTCAACAAAGTCTATCCCAAGATATCTTATAAATAAGCTATCAAAGATGAAAGGTAAATAGAAGATTCTCAAACCTGCAAGAGAAAGGAACAAATAATACTTGGAGGTGGCCCTATTCACATGACAGATGACTTCTCTGAAGAAATCTTACATACAGGAAAGATTTTCACAGTACTGAAAGGAAAAGAAAACTTCCAATCAAGCCAGGCACAGTGGCTCATGCCTGTCATCCCAACTGTGGATGGAGATCCTTATCCAGGTGGCCTAGGCCAAAAAGAAGTGAGACCCTACCTGAAAAATAAGTAAAGGCAAAAAGGACTGTGGGCATTCAGGCAATAGACTGCCTGCCTAGCAAGCATGAGGCTCTGAGTTCAAACCTACATACTGCCAAAACATAAAGTCACCAATTGAAAATACTGTACTCACCATCCAGATAAAAAGGAGAGATAAAGACAACCCCAGAGAAACTAAAACTAAGAAAGCATAGCTGTACTCAATCTGTCTTACACAAAAATGCTAAACAAAATTCTTCAAACTGAGAGATATTAATGAGTAAAAAGAAAACATCAGAATTCATAAAATCACTGGAAAGAGTAATTATTTAGACAAGTTCAGGATTCTATAATATATTTAAAATGGAATATAAATCATTTATACCTTTAATATGAAGACCAAAAACAAGACAATTAAAAATAATAATTACATTAATACATTAAGAACTTGGCAATGAAAATGTAAAAAGAAATAGCAAAAATTCACTGTGGAGAGGAATGGAGTGAATGTGTAGTTTTTTTAAATCATCAATTTTCTTTTCCTTACTTAAACCATGTTAATGCTGCCCCTAATTTCAAAATAGCTTACGTAACCAAGGATATCTTTAATAAACTCACAAAAGCAAAAATTCTACAAAATATAAAGCCCAAAAATAATAGAAACAAAATCAAAATACACTACTAGAGTAAATCATCAACCTCGAAGGAACACTGGTACATGAAAGTAGAAACAAGTTAACAAAATGGCTGAATAAGATTGACAATTACTAAATTTTAAAATGCGATTGAATCCTGTAACTAGGCATGGAGTCCTGAAATGATTAAAAACAAGACTCAAACTACATGTTGCTTAAAGAAACCATTTCCCCTCTAAGGACACTCATGGAGTGAAAAGCAAAGGGGTGGAATAAGATTTCCATGCAAATGACATAAAAAATAAAGCTGGAGTAGACAACCTTGTATATACTTTAAAATCAAAACAATAAAAGAAACAAAGAGGATCTACCGTGAATCACAAATGGATCATTTCGCAGAGGCTATAGCAATTCTAATATATTTAATGCACCTGGAATTATGGCTACATATAAATAGATCAAAATAGATAACTTAAAACGACAATTAGAGAGAATATGCCCCCAGAAAAATAATAGAATAAGGTTTTTACACTCCAGTTCTTAGCATAGAAAAATCATCCAGACAGAAAATTAACAGGAAATAGAGGGTTAAATTACTCATAGACCAATGCATGGGGTTTCTGCATGCATGGAGACTTTCTGATCAATCTGAGAAAAAAAGGAAATAATCTTAAACATCATGTGCAACCTGGAAACATTTCCTGCAGACCAGAGGCCTTTCAAATCTGTGAAATTCTGGAGTGAAAATCAACTTGATTATTTCAGGAAGCAACATGAGTATTTTTTATTTATCCAGTGTTTGGATACAAACGATGCTCAAAATATATATCAAAAAATGTAAAAATGTTAAAACTTTGTTCTAGGTCTCACACCCTGCTTTTTTGATGTACTTTCCAATATACATATGTTGAAACTTAATGTCAAATGTGACTGTATTGAGGAGAAACCCATAAAAGATAATAAGGTCATCAGGTCTCCTCTCCCCTGAATGGAGAGAAGGCCCTTATAAAAGAGGCTTGAAACAAAATTAGCCCTTTTTGCCTTTCTGCCTTTCACCATGTGAAGATACAGTAATACTCTGCTCCAACAAATCCAATAATAATGCCCCATGATGTAATTTCCTTACCAGATACTAAACCTATAAGAGACTTATCTTAGGCTCCCTGTATCCAGAAATGAATTACTATGGTTTATAAATTACCCAATGTCAGGTATCTGGTTATAGCAGCATACATGGACTAAGACATACACAAAATTTAATATATCACCACAAAACTTGTTAATATTTATTAGAGCAACTGAAAGACTTCATAATTATTCAAAGTTGAATCCATATGTTGAGAATTCAACATGATGTTGTGTAGTGAAAAAAATGAATTCTGTAAGAAAGGTGGGAGATCATTTGAACTTTCTGAAGGGTCTTCTGTTATAATCTAATTACTGGAAGAAAAATTGCATTATTTTGAATGATAAACCAGACAAACTCTTTGTAAAGTACTGATCCAGGTTTGATGAGAATGGATTATTCTATGTGTGGCTAGCTGAGAAAAAGTTCTACCTAAACGTGAATTTTAGCTGATTTCTGGATACCTTCTTAGCTAATTGTTAGAAAATGTTTTTAGAATCTGGACACAGCATAGGCACATAGGGAGTAAAATTTTGAGATATTAAATAATATCTTGTATCATTTTCATTAATGTGTCTAATATAGTTTTTCACACTAAGGAATAAAGTATTTTCAGTTTTTAAAGCAAATTCCAGTATGAATGGTATCAAAAGCTTAGCCATACAGACTGTACAGTTTTGTTTCCTGCTTTCTTAAGTTATCCTCCATCCTGGTCTAGTATGTATGTATACTGCTCTTCAAGCCAAAATGTTTACTTATTTCACAAATGTGTATGATATCCAGATTCTCTGAAAACTCAGGACTTCCAAAGAACTGTGTATAAAAATCAAATCTCAGAATAAAGAAAATTGGTAGTAGAGGTTGGAAACACTAAAATGTTTTATTTGTACTAAATCACTTGCAATTTCCAAGTTATAGATTCTCAGTATATTCTACCATGAATGTACTCTACCTTTGAAGTAAGCTGAGCAATCTGGAACACAAGAAAAGCATCTTAAATACTAAAAACAAAAAACACGGAAAAAAATTTGTTTTCATTTTTATTAGGATGTATTCATTGTACAGGGGGATTCATTGTGAAAGCTTCAAATAAGCTTACATTGTACATTGATTAGATAGCCCCCACCATTTCCCCCTCACAAACTCCTCCCTACCTCACTTAGGACACTTAAAAGAGGTTCCATCATTCTATTTTGTATATGTATATGAAGTACATCAACTATATTCCCTCACTTTCATCTCCTCCATTCACCCCACCCCTCCCACAAGTACCCCCCACACTCTATACCTATGTTACAGCCCTGTCTTTCATTATTAATTCCAAAGTCAATGTTCAAAGGAGTTTCTCGATGTATCCCACTGTGAGTACACTTTACTTTGGTCAGTTCAACCACTTCCATTACTTTCCCTTACCCCTTCCCTTCTACCCTCCACTATTCAACAGCTTTCAATGCATGTCATTATATCCTCTATCTGCACAGATGTAATATATTTTAATATTGTTGACTATCATTCTCTTTCCCTTTTCCTCCTCCACTATTAAACATGTTCTTCATGAAGTTTGTACATGAGCATGTTTGTTTTTGTATAATATGTGCCTTCCCTTTAATTGAACTTCTCAAAAGCTAACTAAGGCATTTCTTTGCTTCCTGCTTCATGCTGGAATAATTGTATATATATTTTTCAGGATATATATATATGTATATGTGTATATATTCTGAAAATGGGAAGTAGTCTAATGCAGATAAAACATTTCCATGGATTTTTCCTTCCACTCCTTTTGATATTCTTTATCCTGTGAATTTTTTCTTAGGAAGAGCAGATTTTTCAGATTCTGGGCATTATTCACACTTTTCTTTTTATCACTCACAAATTTGAAGTAAGTAACCATACAGGCTTAAGAATAGTACACACATTAATGAGTCCAGGAAGCAGAAAATTTAAGAAAGCAGGGACTGGAAGTGTGGTTTAAGTGGTAGAGCACTTGCTTTGCAAGCTCAAAGCCCTGAGTTCAAAACTCAGTCCTACCAAAAAAAGAAAAAGAAAAAAGAACAAATATCATCAGTCTCTATAGCTATAATTTATTAATATCACTGCCTTGTTCTCCACTGATTCCAAACATTCATGCTATGTTATTTTAAAAGAATGTTAAAAATGTTTCCATACAGTCTTTCTTCATTCTATTCATTTTGATATTATTTAAATTATTTAATTAAAATATATAAAACTAGAGCATATTCATTTAAATCAGATTTACAATGTATTTTTAAATAACCAGTAACAACTACATGAATTCAAGCTGATAAACTCTTGATTCTTCTAAAGCACAGAAAGCTTCACTCTGAACACACATTTATGCCATCCTGCTAACAGAGACACGACTTAAACTCCTAGAGAGACATTCCGCTTCTCAGTTAACACTGACAGGAAGTCATTGATGCCATTGGTGTCTTGCTATTTTATCATTATCTTGAATTAATGAATTGATATTATAACATATTTTACTATTTAACAAAGTTACTATTTCAATTTGCACCAAATAAAGTGATTATATATATATATATATTTACCACATTTAATTAGAGCATGCATATCGGCACTAATTAACTGATAATAATCCTTGCCTAAAATTTGAAAGATTATGACATATTTTGCAAGAAGAACATATAACATGAGATTTGATTATGAGACACAAATGAGTCATTAGAGAAACCTATATAAACCTACTCTAATTGTTGTAGCAACATAATGAATTTGGTAACTACTTTGAACAGAAAAATGCTCCTCACTAGCTTACCTAATGCCCCTTTCACATCCTTATTCCTCAGGGTGTAGATGAAGGGGTTGAGTGTAGGAGTCACCACTCCACAGAACAGAGCCATGAACTTGGGCTGGTCCCTAGAGATGGAGGAGGGGGGCTGAAGGTACATGCTAATAGCTGGGCCATAAAATAAGAAAACTACAATGAGATGAGAGGAACATGTCCCAAAGGCCTTTTTCCTTCCTTCAGAAGATTTGATCTTAAGTACAGCATGTCCAATACTTGCATAGGAAGCAAGAATTAAGCACAGAGGAACAGCTAACATAAAAATGCATACCACCGAGAGTGTGAGTTCATTAGCTTCCTTTTCACCGCAGGCGGTCTTTATCATGACTGGCATCTCACACAACAAGTGATCAAGTTTATTGATGCCACACATTGGCAACTGTAATGTGACAGTGGCTTCTGAAACAGCATAGGTAATTCCACTCAGCCACACAGTGAATGCTAATAGGATGTAGATGTGCTGGTTCATGATGAGGGTGTAGTGCAGAGGTCTGCAGATGGCCACATAGCGGTCAATGGACATAATGGCCAAAAGAAGGCAATCTGTGCCCCCCATTAAGTGGAAGATATAAAGCTGTACTGCACATCCCAGATAGCTGATGGTCTTCTTAGAGCTTCCCAGGTTACACAGCATCTGAGGGACGATGCTTGTGGTATAACACATGTCCAAAAAGGAGAGGTTGGTGAGGAAGAAATACATGGGGCTGTGGAGATGGGGGTCTAACTTGGATACCAGGATGATGGCGATGTTTCCCATCATGGCCATGGGGTATGTGATCAGAAGAATAATGAATAGAGGGGGCTCTAGCCAAGGATGGTCAGCAAAGCCTAGTAGAATGAACTCTTCTGGGTGACTTTCATTAGTTACTGCCATTCTTTTTAATTTATTTCACCTATAGTAAGGAGGTGGCAAAAAAAATGTCAAGTTACAAATAATAATAGAGTATAATTGTGCATTGGCTAGCCAATAACAAAAGGTAGGTTGCAGTAAATTGTAATGGAAATATATGCAGGTTTGGGCACCAGATGTCCAAATTTCCCCTGGGACACTACAAATTAGAGAAGCATGCCTTCAACAAGTAAGCTAACTATACTAAAACTGAATTTCTTCCTCTGAATTATAAGGCTAAAAATAACTAACTCCTCAAATTATGGTGAGGATTCAATGAAAAGAAGTGACTGTTGTAGAAACTCCATATCAATATATCACAAACTTCAGCAGTTATAAAAATTAGGTGAAGAGACTATTAAAATGAAGCCTCTTTTGTTTCATTTTCAGTTTTTTGGGGGGTTATTATTTTTGGTTTCTATCTTCAGACATTTGATAGAGTAGATATGGCACAGGGCACTTGGAAAAAAAATGCCTTATTGTCAGCAGCTGTAGGCATTAATGAAATATTAAGAAGAGTGAAGGTACTGAAGTGGTAATGGTTGAGGGAAAGGAGGAGAAAATCAGCAGCTAAGAGAATCATTGAGATAGCCTGCCCACATGCAAGCAGTTAACTGAGTAATCATGTAATCCCCTTGAATAGTGAGAGGACCTTATATCTAAATTAATATTTCTTAGGTACTTGTAATTAAGTGTTAAATTTAAATACTTTGGGTAACAGTGTCCTTAAACATAAATTTGAGATAATTAATCTCTTAACATAGGTTTCAACAGCTTAAGAATTTGGTTTTATATGTACTTTTCTTTTTGTTGCCTTTACTTTTACTTTTTAGTAAGAGTTTAGTTTAGTTCGAACTTCAGGTGTTTGATCTTTATGTTAAATTTTAGTTAATTTATCCTTCTTGTAGAGGTTTTCCTTTAGCAAATGAGCTTATCATCCTGTTTCAAAATAGACTTGGACAACTTCCTGTGACTAACTGTAGAAGGCTACAATTTCTTTAATTCTAGATTCCTGTCAAGAGAAAAGGCAGAGTGTCACTTCAGGCCAAGAGATTTATTTAAATTCATAAGCATTCTAAGATTAAACAATAAGCATTTTTTAAACCTAAAAGTCACATTCAAAAACCACAAAATCAATGAGCTGAGTAAATCAGCACTTTGAGAAAGATAAATTTAGATTATGAAGGTTTTTATTTATTTTGTTCTTTTACTTTGAGTGGGAAGTGTGTTTTAAGAAATCCACAGTCTCCTGTAACATGAGGGATATAAAAGTGCATCCCAGCAACAAAATTCTGAGTTCAATTTGGTGTAGTGGAACCAGATTACACTATTAAGTTAATTTTCACATTCTCTATTTCATTAAATCCTGAAAACAATGCTTAGAGGTGTCACAGAAAGCTCTTCAGAGCTAAACTGCAATGATGCTCTTTGATTATATACTATCCTCATTCAGAATTGCACAAAACAAATTAAAAAACAAAATAATTTAACCATTCCTCCTAGAACCCTATGTGCCAAACACTATAATAAGTCTTTTACATCCATTAAATCAAGTGGTATCTACATCAAAACCCTATTTAAAAAAGGAAATTTTAATCTATATTTTAGGATATTGCTAATTGTGCATTCCTATAATCTGCTAATAATTTTAGAAATTCTAAAAAATTAAAAAATGCTCAGTGCCTTAAATGAGGATGTGAGATATCAAGATTATAAATTCAGAGTTTCAAGATTCCATAGACAACATCTGATTTCTAGGGGTGATTTATGAATGATTCCCTATGCCTTATTTGATACTACCTAAAGTATTATAAGAGAACAACAAATTTAGGAACATATCTTGACTTGTTTATTTTCTTGGTAAAAATATTTTATGTTATAAATGGGATATGAATTAAGGTTGATATGAATTAATTTCATTTTTGAGATGCATGTAATTTCTGTAGTTTACCCATATCATTAAACAAGTACAACATAAGAAGCCTGTGGTATATTCATGTTGCCTCCTTAATGCACATTTTCTCCATGCTTCATCCTTCAATTCTTTAATGAAGTAATTTTGGATATGAACCATCAGGAATTCTTCCATAATTTATTATATCTAGCTCTAATGACAGTGGTTATTATAATATGCTCTCACCTGATTTATTTAATTTTCATCATTGGAATTATTTTCATAAAATTCACCTTATAAAGTGTTGTTTTGTTTCATAGTGGAATCCCCTGAAAGCATCTTCATTTCTCTGCATATTTCCCTAAACAAGCCAGAGAAAATGTTATTAATGAATGTGATCTACTCCTGAATAAATTCAAGCCCTATAAAGTCTATCCTATAAGTCTATCCATATATCTCTCATCTTTACCATGTCACACTCATATTTCATTACTTTTGTCTCTGAGATTTCATCTGCCTTTGGATCTTTATATCCAGTGATTATCTATCATAATTTCACTACTCAGGAGCCTATTTACTCATAAACATTTAAAATCTCATTAATTAATAAGTGCCATACCATTCCTGTGACCTCTCCTTTGCATCTTCATTTCCATTTGCATACCTATTATGCATTTGCATAACTTATTTCATTATCTTATTTATACTCTATTTAATCACACATAGTATTTTATTTACATTTATAGATATTTTATCTTTCTATATAGTAAAATAATCACCAGATGTAAAATTTGTTTTTATCTGACACTAAAACATTGGATGAAACACACAGGCAAGAAGTCTATCCATGAATTTTGATAGTATTTGATATTATTCATGTATATATCATTGAATGAGTTTCATACTTCTTTCAGGTATCTAATATCTGTCATATATAGCTTATATTGAAAATTCAACATTTTAAAGTCTATCCAAAGTAAGAGATTAATTACAAAGAGAAACCTAATTTGTTGCTAGAGTCATTAAAGAGGGTATTCCTGATTTTAGATAAAGTTCTCTTAAATGAAATATTCTACTTTTCATATGTATATAAGACAATATCATCTATACAAATTCTAACCTTCCTTGAAAAAAATGAATTATGTAGACTGTAAGTCCATCAACAGAAGAACAGATACAGACAATATTAAGCACACACACAAACATATTATGGTGTATTATTCAGTCACAAAGAAAAATGAAATCCTGTCATTTGCAGAAAAATTGATGGAACTGGAGGAGATTATGTTAGGTGAAATAAGCCAGACACAGAAAGACAAGTACTGCATGTTATCTCTCATACGTGGAAACTAAAAACTGGTGACCTAGATGTAGAAAGTGATTACTAGAAGGTTTGAAGTGAGGGGGTAAGTGGTAAGCAGTGGTTGGGTACATCTGTATGATGGAAATTTCTCATTGTCATTAATATGCACGATTCATATTTATTTAACAACCCATTTTTTAAAAGGAAAATGCATGACATTTAAACTGATAGTTTATTTACTTATACTTACCTTATTTTCTGAAATAGTATTCAATAAAAAGGAATTATGAACAAATTCATTAGGATTTTTCAAACTTTCAGAGAAGGGTGGAAAAACTGTAGTTCATAGATGAACATTTAAGAAGTAGCTTCAGAAATCTTAGTTTCTCAATTGATGCAGGTTGTAAAAGAGAAAGAAACATGGGTTTGGAAGCCACTGTTAGAAAATACCAAGAATGCTTTCTGGATGTGTTTTTCTAGTCTTTTCCTGAGACTGCTGGCCATTTATTCTTCTCCCAAATGGATTAGCAGAGAAAGTTCCTTGGGACAGAGCTCTCTATGGAAATACTTCTCTTCTATCATTATTTGCCCACTGAACCAAGGCTGGAATCCAGTCTCTCTGTTGTTAGGTTTGTTTCAAAATAAACTCATTCAATTTCTCAGCACACTATGCAGTAATTTTAAATAAGGTACAATTTAAAATGCACAAAGTGTTACAGTTAGAGTGGAGCTGGCTTGAAAAATGATTCAAGTGAGAGTTCTTTGAATGTTACTCATTAAATTTTAGAATAGTTCACAAAAATTAAATTATTTCTACTCATAAAAATAGGCACAAAAATGAGTTGAAAAAAGGGAAAAATATTCAAAAATGCAATGAATTTTTTAACAGCATTTAACTTATTATCCCTTTTCTCTAACTCAGATTTTATATCCTTTGACCAACATCTACCTGAACCCTCCCCAAAATCACCATGCTTCCTGGTTATAACTACTTTACTCTCTATTTTTGTGACATCAAATTTTTAATTTACAGAAATGTGTTAGATCAAGCCATATTCATTTTCTATGCATGACTTCTTTCACTTAACATAATATCCTCCAGGTTCTTCCATATTCTTGCAAATAACAGGATTTTACTTTTTATATGAGTGAATAGTATTAAATAACATGTGGGTGAGTGTGTATGTACACATAACCCATTTTCTTTATCCATTCATCAATTCATTAATGAACACTTAGACCTATTCCATTTGTTGGCCATAGTACTTCAAGGAACATAATAGTACAAATATCTCTGATGAACACATTTCATTTCTTTTGGATACATAGCCTGTACTGGGGCTGCTAGATCATGATACTTTTATTATTGATTTTTGGAGGAACCTCTATATTGTTTTCCATAATGACAGAACTAATTTACATTCCCTGGCATCTACAATCTTGTGAGCATTTATTATCTTCTATCTTTTTTATAATAATAATTTTAACATGTATGAACTGATATTTTGTTGTGATTATGGTTTGCATTTCTGTGATCATTATGGAGGCTGAGCATTTTCCCAAATACCTCATGGCCATTTTTATATCTTCTTTTGAGTAATATTTAATCAGATTCTTTGCCCTTTTTTGGAGTTATTAGTTTTCCTTTTATTGAGATGTTTTAATTCCTTACATATTCTAGCTTAATAGCTAGAATATGCCTTATTGGATGTATAGTTTATTATTTTCTCCCGTTCTACAGCTTTTCATAAATTTTCTACACAGAAGCTCTTTGGTTGCTTGCTACAC